TCCGCCGTGTTTCAATACTTCAGGCAGAATCCCATCGGCACCGGCACAGTTGCTGTTTCGCAGCTGTGCAAGTACTGTCTGCGTCTCATCCACTTTCGACATGTTCGCCAAACTCGTCTTCACCTCGTGCTGCTTCAGGCCGTTCAAAGGAGGCCAGTCGATCTCTGAACGGTTGTTCAAGAGAGAGATTTAAAGTGTTTTTGCCAGATCTGCATTAGGTCTGCAGTGTGTGTACCGGTAGCGCCTGAACTAGCATCGATCAGCGTCCTCAGTGGCTTCAACCTCAGTCGATACACTGCCTTCAAGGAGTCAAAGAATTTCTTGTGTTGGCGGCGTTCGGCGTAACATTCCATCTGCTTCGCCTTCTCCGTCCACCATGCACTTTTAATGCGACGGAGCTATCAGGTCAGTTATCGAATTCGCCCAAATTTTCTCTTTTTCCCCAAGTTACTGGGTCTGCCACATGTGCAGCAAATGCTGCACTCTACTCAAATACCAATGCGCCAATCGTCACATTGTTCACCTGAATCCAGTCAGACCGCTTGCAGTTTGTGCGGCTGATGGTCTGCTCGGCAGCAGCTGTCACCTGGTCGCGAATGTGGTGCCGCAGGTCGCCCACCGTGGCTATGCACTCCACCTAGCCCAGTCGTGCAGCTATGGCCTTCTGCAGCTTAATACGTTTCGGCACAGTACCGAGAAAGAAAATGTTAAATTTGCGGCAGATTCATGGCATGAGTGCAATACATAGATTTAGGAAAGGGTATGTACAATTTGGGTCCGCACCAATTTGTGATCAGTACCACACTCCGCTCCACGCAGTACACGTGTCATGCGCACTTCACGCATGTCACGCTGACGTACGATGACATGGTCGAGCAGGTGAGCGTGACCACTTCGTGGCTGCGTCCAAGTTGCTATATCACTTGCACTCGATGCAAACCGCCTGTTCGTGATCGTCAGGCATTGAGTGGCGCACACATACGGCGACATTTGCAGACTACTGACTATGATGGTTTTCCTTAACTTCGAAGCCGCCTTCGACTCTGGTGGCCGCACCAGCTTGTGGCACTGCCTATCCATGAATGGCGTACCGGCTAAATTCCTTTCCTTTATTCAGTTTCTACCTTGACTCCCGAGGCCGTGTAATGGTCTGAGGGAAACTGTCGATTGAGTTTCCCACCACAAATGCGGTTCGCCAGAGTTGTCTTATATCTCCTTTCCTCTTCAGCTTTGTTATCGAAATCATCATGAGTGACCCGGTTTTTTCAGACTACCAAATTGGAAGTTCTGCCAGCTGACCGACTGACAAATCTGGGGTATTCGAACGTCATTGCTCTTCTTGGGTCTAACGCAGTGGTTATGCAAACACTACTGCATACACTGACATGTAGCGCCTCACTCTACGGCATGTGCCTTGCACCTACAAGTCTAAAGTGCAAGACTGTATCTATACACCTCGGAACAGCCACTGGAACTGGTGGAACGGTTGATTTACCTTGGTAGTTGTGTCACAGCTGTTGGTCACATCACTGAAGAGGTTTTTCGCGTATCAGCATGGCCCAAGTGACTTTTCAGAGACTCAACCACCTACGGAGACGATGGGATATCGGCCTGTCAGTGAAAGGTAGGGTGTAGAATGCTGCGGTAAGGCCGGTCTTACTGTATGGATCAGAGACCTGGCCAGTTCTCGGCGAACATGTTTAACGCCTGGCCATGTTTGACCACCGTTGCTTGTGGTGTATTGCTGATATCTGATGGGAGCACGCGGTGAGCAATTCTGAGATCCACCTGTTGGTCTTTGGCAAGAAGCATTCTAGTTCCTCTCTCGTATGTTTATTTACCCCTAGTCGCTTACGCAGGCTGGGCCATGTCTTCCGTATACCCGTTGATCGGCTTCCTCGGCTGCATTATACGCCGTGGCTGCAGCAAGTTGTGTGAAACCGCGACGTGGCCAGTCCATCACGTGGCATGGTGACATGTAGAAACTGACTGAGATTTGGTCAAGCTCGGGCGTGCCGTCTTCGTGGATGGAGGCGTCGGGATGGTCCACACCAATGGTTAGAGACCGTATCAGACATGGCGCAGTCACGTAGTCACTTACATATCTGCATTCGGTTTCTTGCATCTGGTAATTTAATTTTCATTCCATTCTGATGAGTTTAACGCACCTCGTTCTTGCTTCCATTTTCACTACATCCTAGTTGCCTTTAAACCCATTATCTGACAGTTGTAAATTTTTGTTATTCTCGTGATATGAGTCGTGGGAACTGGATCCACAAAACTTCGGTGCTCGGATCTAGTGTTTCAGCTGAAGTGTTCTGAACTTTTTAACTACTGTGTTCTCAACAATCCTGGTCTCATCATCATGTTAGGTAGTTACGAAGAAGTCGGCTGCATTCTTCATCCACAACTCATTAATGTCAACCGACGACTTTCTCTTTGTTGGTTCTTCTCCCTTTACTTGGTTTAATGGCACCACTGGTTGTCCCTGCTCCTCGGAGAACACATTTGTTTATTACTGACTTGCCACTACACGTCTCAAACCGCGTAGCTCTGAGTCAAATGCGCCTGAATCCACTAAAACCCATCCTTGGATCGCCTTTTTCGCAGTTGAATTGTCGTCAAATCTTAAAAATAACACATACTCTAATCTTATCACTCCTACCTTTCGAATACCTGGTCTCTGACATTTATCTTCGAGAGTTGGATCTGCTCGTCACTGCCACGTTGGTTGGATTGTTGGGCCGAAGATACACACCATTTCGAGACCCCCATCCATTGCGGTCTTGTTAATCAGAGTCCCGAGTTTCAGAATGGATGTGGTTAGCATCTAGCAGCGGAAGTTGCCATTCTTGATCCCCCTATCAATTTTCCTTTTTCTCGTACCTTTCACATTTGCCTCCTTAGTTCGCCAGCAAATGTGTGCCCATGACTTCATCACTTGTGCTAACGATGCATGCAATGCCTTTCGAACTGTGGTTTTTATTTCAAATCTCTTCTTTCAACTTTTTCATTTTTCCATGTTTTATGTATCTCTCACCTACACGTACTTGATGGCTATTTTGTACACCTGACTTGAGTTATGCTAGTGGTGATAACCAACCTTTTTGCTTCTCTGGCAGTGTGTCTACTCGGAGCACTTGTTATACTTAAATTATGCTCCCTCAAAAACCCGTTTGAATTTTTGTCGCTTGGATACTGCTGCATGGTTGGTGTCGTCTTAGAGACTGGACGGATGACCTCGGAAGACATCGCTGTGTTGTCTTCACTCATGTTCCACCGACTTCTCCTCAATAACTTCCGAAATGAATTTATTGTAACTCAACTCCTATCAGAGGCCGAGCAAAGTCGTCTCTGCTTTGGTACTGGTCAACCTGATATTGATCACCCGTGTTTTGGCCCAGCAATCACCGTACTTTCCACTTCAGTAGCACCGCCTTGCAGCTGAAACGTTTGCACCCAGTCTACTGACTCTCGCGGAAGAGTAATTCATCTTATCTGCTGTCTCCTTCGCTAGTTGGATCATTTGAACTCACCTAGAACGTTCATTTTATCCTTCCATGTGTTTCAGGAGTCTAACACGAACTTGCTTTGTTGAAGTGCGACAACAAGTCCGGATGTCACCATCGTTCCTGACTGCCATCTGTGATTCACCTATGCTAGACCTGTCCACACCATTACTTTCCATGTCGTACGGTGAGACATGGTCTGCAGACCGGTGGCCATCAACTGTCGTCCCGTGCGAACGTCGTCAGACCATTTTCGTCATTACTATTAAGTCTAAGTCATATGTATTAAAATGAGAGGTTGCGTCCGAACAAATGAGCGTCGTGTCGACCCTGCCCACTTAAAACAGAGAGAATACAAACGAACGAGAGTGGGATTCAGGATTCTTTTCATATGAAAACGATATTCTTGTTATAACTTTAAAGCATTCATATTTTTGTTCGTTTAGGCGGGCTGACAGATGCGCAACTGTTGAGAGAAATCGGAAAACTGAAACATTTTTGACCGAACGAAGAGAATTAGGACTGAGCAAATTATGGGCCAGTCGGATGTTCAGGAGAGGAAAGTGAAAATGTTAACGTCGCAGCGAAACTGGGATCCGAACTCAGCAATTGGAGCTAACGAAACGCTACGTTAAAACATGCGTCATTGAATAGCCTCGACAATGTCTGTAGCTATTAAGCATTCCTTACTCATGATTGAAGCTTTGACTCTTATTCAACACCTCCTTCTTCTTCAACAAATTAGGTTACATTTACTCCACATGGTCCTTCGATCGACCAAGTTACTAGTCCTGATCTAGCCCATTTCCTTGTCAACTGAGGACACAGTTTTTTCCTGAGTAACGATTCCTCTAGACTAAGCCATCGTTACTCGTTGGGCAGGTGCAAGTGGCTACTCTGCCTTCTGCACGACGGTAACGTAAACAAATGGAGTGTATGCGGCTCTATATCATAACTAACCGTTTCCGTCGTTGCCTTTTCCATTGCCCATTAGTCATAATCACTGACTCATATTCCAGGGGACTGGTGGTATGCGCGGAGATAACGATTTTCGAAAGGATAAAATGGGCGTTAAATGCTTTTCTGGATGTTTGCTGGACCTCCGCCTGAGTTCAGCTGTCATGAATTCGACTTTTGCCATCTAAATGCCTCTGCTTTTTGCGATGGTATGTTCGATTAGTTTTTTGTTCTCATACTCCAGTGTCTTCAGTTTTCCTTTCTGACACTATTGATACCATGACTTACACTCTAGGGTGTATTTGCTGTTAGTTGCTTAGAGAAACGTAATGAAAAAATTCAGCACCGTCTCAGTGTACTTTCTGATATTAAGACTTTTCCTTTCCTTGTGATCTGTTTATGTTTCCTGATCAATCCTCAGCTCATTTCTTGTGCTTCTTTCCTTCTCGTCTTTGATTCATTCTTGGGTCATCGATTCGTGACCTTTCGAATTATATTTCAACTCACATGGGTTATTTTCGTCCACTTATCCAGCATATGCCGGTGTTGACGAGCGCCAACTTTATCCTGACGACGATCTTGTGAACAGCCCGACTGATGGGCAATCTAGGCGCCAAAGCACAATTTCTAGAACCTTGAATCGGATAGTCGCTCCTTTCTGGCCCACATCCACTTCCACACTTCCTCCGACACGTTCGGTGTCTGTGTCAGAACGTGGCCCCTCGCAGAAGAAGCGAAATTACGATCGATGGGGTTATGATCACGTCTCCGTTCCGGCTGACTTGTCGCACTGGGTCGAGTCAGATGAGGATCCAATTAAAATTTGGACTCAAAACAACCATCAGCTGGAGCACACCTCTGATCTGTGTACGTGAATGTATCTTACCCGCGTCTCCTGTTTGTCTGTCTATTTCCTCTCCTCGAATTGCCCTAGTGATTTCCTCCCTCAGGTAATGCGCCATTTGGCCTCCTATCCTGTTTTACCGGGAATTTCAGTTCAGCGATATTTCTCATTCGTCGCAGTCCTGCTCGCTTCTGTACCCCTTTTCATAAATGCTCACTTACCTCCTTTCTTTCCTCGCTATGTTGGATCTCAGATTAACTGTCCTCCGCTGATTCAACTTAATTCGCCACCGTCAATGTGTTTTCTGTCCAGTTAGATCACATAGCGAACCTGATTTTATAGATGTTTATTTTACACAGCTTGACGTCAACGAGCCCAGATTTTAATGTAGGGCAACCGTTTCGCTGTGTGTTTCAAGCAACATGGGCCCATCTTTAGTTCCCCTCGTTTTGCACCACAGGCCCTCCTCCTGTTTCAGCATGACTGAGTTGCTGCTGACTTTTTCCTGTAAACTTTACCGAGAAGCACTGTGAACGAATTTCTAGGTTGTCAACCGAGAAGTGATTGTTGCCAACATTTAGGTAGGTTTACCGAGATCCCTTCTACGCTCAGCTTACAAACCGTTGTCCTGAGGACGGCCAAACCGACCGTCTCAGTTACTCATATTCATCTGAGAAAATAGTCCCAAAAAAGACATCAGCAGCAAAGGATAGCCAGACGAACAAGCTTGTTTTCGGTGATTCTCCTCAGGTTATTACACCACAACGAATAGGAATATAACTAAAACAGGACATTTAAATGCGATGAATCAATGATGCGAATTATCCGGTCAATGAGATTAACTGATGGCATTGGCTGGAGTAACATTAGTGTAGGTCTTAAAGGCATCGTCGTTACAGTGTTCACCATAGAACTTGAAAGTAACACTTCACTGCCTTTCTTACACGTCCAGATCATCAGCACAGAAGAGATTGCACAGGAAAAAGTCTTGGGGCGGCCAGTTTCGTTCCAATAAGTCAGAAACGAAACCTCATCCGTTGTCTAACGGAGCGATCGTGGAGAATATGCACGGATGACGCGCTGTCAGATGGGTTGCGATTCATTCGGAACGTTCTCGAATAAAATGGTCACCCGTACAAATTCATCCGGAGACACATGGAGTCACGAGAGCCCATAGTCCAACCTGTCTCCGCAGAAAGCGGTTGATCTACTATCACTGCCTTTCAAGGGTGATATTAGCGGAACGAGTCACCCGAAGGCTCTCCAACGCCCCCGCGAGAACCTACTTTGTAAATGATCTCCGTATCGGCTTCACATCTAAACCGATCGTGAGCCAACAACTGAAGGACAGGATATCAAGGTCGAATATTTCTTCCTGTGCGTACCACTTTCCTTGCTCGTCTCGAGCTAGTTATACTAGGAAGACGAGCCGGCGACTGCCTGAGAGAATCCGGGAACATTGCCCCTCGTGGCTCTACACTGGTGTGAGAAAGACTGTAGCAAGCGCGGGGCTGTGACATCTGGCCGACTGGCTTCGCTTTGTTCATAAATAAGACTTCCAAAACGATTTCCCAGCTTTGTCAGTCAGCTGGATGCACCCAAAAAGTGATGGAATTGATTTCCGAGAGCTACGAGAATTGCCAACTATCCCAGACTTTCTTCCTCCGGAAGAGAATAAACATTTAGTTAGAGGAGCAAAGAGGTTGTTTTCTCAGGCGGCTGCTCATCCCCGCATACTAGCCAGCCAGTTTATTTTATCTTCTGTTCTTAACTAGGTGTCGCACTTTAGCCGTGTGCATTTTCATAGGGCTTTGAACTTGCATATCAAGCCCCCTCTTCCATCTAGCTATTATTCATCATCGCTAAGGTCGTAAGACTGTCATGATTACCTATTAACTACCGGTGTATGGCCGCTAGTATGGTTGTTGTTGAATGTTTACAATTTGCAGTGGCTTTAACCGCAGCCACTTAAATTCCGTACTTGTCTGCCGATTAACACCCATGATGCTCACAGTCTCTGCAACAGCTGTTTGCCTGGTGTTGCTGGATTTGCACCATAGTTTTGCTCATCTTCGTTTACTCCAAGTTTCGAGCGACGCATCACTGGAAACACGGACATAACGCTGTACCCGATCATGTTCCCTTCTACTTACTATATCATTTTCTAGCGATGGGTTGTATTGCTGGTGTCATCTTTATGGGACTTATTAATTTCAACACTTCACCGTAGCTGGTTTTGGTGGCGCTGAAGCGGTCGGTATTCTGAGTAACAAGTTATGGGCACCAGCCATGTATACATGCTGTACGATTACCGTGTGTCGTAATATTCACGCATTCATGATCGTTTGAGGCGAGAAGGCTTTTTATGTGGCCTGCTCAGGGCAAGCGTCTCCGATTGACCAGGACTGGGCGGATGACTGGCCGTAGAAGATTTTCTCACCGACCACCCGAGTGATCGATAGTATTCGCAGACCATCTTTTTGCATAACACGAGTTTAGAGTAGCCACTACGGTGTCTCACCCATTCCAACTTAACGGCACGGAAACCAGGAATTGTAACATGAGTCGTTGAAATCGCGTCATAACCGACAATCGTCGTCAGTTATGCGGCTTTTTCACTTTTACATTCGACCGACGATTCATCTGTAACCTGCGGCTATCTAGATTTGCTCTTCTGCCCTCCGTTATGTACCCATCTGGTTGGTGACCTTACGGCTGGCCCCACCTACCTTGTCACAGAGTTTTGTGGAGAAGCGATCAACTGGCCCAGGACTATCCACTCTGAGATGCTGATTATTAGTGCTAGCGCATTCCTCTCGCCTTCGCGACAAACGTGACCTATTCACAATTAGTCAAACTTGTGTAAGGCGACCACTCAAGGTACCGACACAAAGTGGCCTTCTTGGACCGGTGGTCGCCACAGACAGATTCATACGTAGGGACATTACTCATAGGAGAAAACGTTGGAGATGTTTTTGGCTGGTCATCATAGACAAGTGGTCACTTTTGCCGGTTGGACTGTACTTCAAAAAACTTCCAATATCTAAACAGTGGATGCACCTAATAGCTTACAGTTATGCTGTCCCATGGCTCACATTCAGCTACAGAGGAAACTAATACAAACCGTCTGACCAATCAGGAGACTTAAAATGAGCAATGTATCATTGTAGTGTGATGTGCAGCAAATCGAATGGATCCACCATGCCCTTACGAGGCTCATCCTCAGTTTACGGGATCTGCCGTAGAAAGACCAATGTGAGAGACTAGGACTGTACACCATGTCCCACTTTCGGGTGTGAATTGAGTCCATCATGAGTTACTGTATTTTGCATGTCAGTGCCTCACTCGCGCTATGGCCGATTTCCTAGCTACGCACACTGCAGCACACTCTGTGTTTCGGTCTGGTCTGTTACTTAAGGGTAACCAGCTGGTGCAAGTTCGAGCCTGTGTAGGGACAGGGCGACCTACGCAATATCGTTAGCCCACGTGCAACCGGTGGTGTTTGCGCAGCAGCGAAGTTTCGGTACCGCCTACCGGCGTACTGCTGATGCCTATTTTTGTGTTTCCATCGGTGAGTAGTGGGTGTTTGGAATAGTTTACCATGACATCTACTCAATGCAAACATCTATGCTACCGTTTAAGACCTTTGGTGCACCTTCCGAAAGCTTTGGATTTAGAGAGCGCTTCTATGGCGATTTTGACATAGATTTGTTATCGATTTATTGTCTTGAGCCAACTACCATTATATTTTCACACCAGAACATGAGGAACCTGTTGGTAATGTCCTCTATGGAATATCTGTAGAGTTGTACGGATTTTACTTATGCTCGCTCCGGAGATACAGTACTCAGTATCCAGTGCATGTCGCACCTGATTTCACCAACGCTCCAGAGTCAGCTATGCCGCATCGATCAGCGGCTACTTTTTTGTTCTTTGTTCTATGAACTCTAAGCGCAAATAGTTTGCCTTCTCATTTCTCACTGATTTATTTGACCCCTGTGCTTGATTGTAGGAGGCAAGGAGCGTAGCTTGAACACTTGACGTTCTCCGTTCCGTATTCCGGCTGCTTTCCACTATGCTAGTTCATACACAAGAAAGAAAAAGAAAGGAATTAGTAATGCGCCGGTACGCATTCCCGACGCTGCACTGCCGCGCAACCACCACTGGCCGCACGTGAGCTAAGGATACTGCGAAAGTCGCCCTGCCCCTACGCGGGCTCGAACTCGCGCCGCCAGTGTACAAGACAATATCGTTACCTTTAGTCTACGGGCCGGCAACACGCAACAGCGACTCTCGTGACTATAAGCGGTGCACACGGACTGACATGCACTGTCAACGTTGCACTGTTGCTGCCGTTGTAAAGTTACTTGTGGATCTATTTGTCTTTTTTCCAATTGTAACCATAAATCATCGAAACTTATCTGCCACAAAATGGAATTACCTATGACTTTACAGATCTGTACGCAATGCAGGCGCCACAGCATCACGTAAGTGCTGTATGTGTGGTTCACTTGTTTTCAGCGTACCTGTACTTTGCATTGCACATCGGTCGCTCTTCTGCCCTCCATGCAGATGCATGTTACACTGGCTCATCCACGATAATCGGCCCCTACTTTTATTTTTAGTCGTTTCCTATGTTCTTTTCAGGTACCCCACCAACTTGCCCGGAAGCTGATTCCGAGAGACATCACCCATCAGGATTCCACTTGCCGGATGATCCCGCAGTTCCCGGGGTTTCCGCTCCCAAATCAACCACCCGCTCGTCTTCAGGGTTTGACCACAAAAAGAATTTGCGTCCTCCACTAAAGCGTGAGCCGGTCAGTGATCTAGATCGCATTCGCGCACTCAAATTTCCCCAAGATCCATTCCTGTCGCCGTATTTAGCTTCTGACGAGTTGATGCGCCAGATTCCTCCTTTAGGTATCGCGGTGAGTCCTCAGACTTGTATTCCATATTTTACTTCCCTTCCATCGCTAAGATTCTCGTCATCACGTGCACGCGATCCCCGTTTCTTAGTCTTCATCACGATAATCACAAGAACAGCTTTATCTGATACTTTATTCCCTGCTGTTTTTATGCAAACACTTAAGTGATCCAGCAATAAATCGGAATACCTGTAGCTCGGGTGATCTGTTCAGATTTTGTTCTGCTGTCCGAGCTGAACAGTTTCGTTGCAAACGTTTCATCACCAATCGTGGTGACTTCTTCAGTGCGTAATAAGCCAACTGAGTTGTTTTGTCTACTCTTACAGACGTGCTCGTCTGTGTTTGTGGCATAGAAGCTAACACCATAGGATGATGTGATGCAAAGTGTTCCCAACAATGGATTCACGTAATCAAAAAGTCCTGGGATTGATCGGTTACACTAGTCAATGACAACTACCCTTGATAGGTGCAGAGGATTGATGTCACCGGGAACAACAGGTTGCTGTCCTAAATCATCCGAAGTGCCGGTGTCATCAATATCCATGTAAAGCGCTATGTGCGATAAATGTCCATCTGGTCGATTTTAGGTCGTTTGGTCTGAGCACTAGGTGGAACATTTCTAGAAGCAACACTGCATAACTACAAAGTCTATCCTTTCGTTGGTCTCTACAATCCAGTTAAAATGTCCGTGTCCCGCCTCCTCCATCAATCATCATCATCAACCATCTAGTTTTCTTTTCCTCACCACTTTTGAACCCAGTTGTCACACTGACCATGGAGATCAGTCATTAGTCATAGCAAATTATGAATTCAGTTCGTACTACTCGTTATGCGAGCAACGATTTGAGTTGGAGCCGCGTTGCCACAGTTGTTGTATTAAGTGACAATTAGTCGGAAAATGTGCAAGAGAGCGGCAACAGACTCTTTGTGCAGATTTCGAAGAGAATGAATTACAAGTCTAATCGGGGATGGAAAATGGACAACGGACAGAGCACAATAACCACTGCGCTTCATGTCGCCGTTACTGACGCCCTGTCTCGCATCCCAAACTTGCGTCCTCGTGACTTACCTGTGCTTGACTCGAGGCTTTACAAGATGTGGCTCTCAGCTAGCAGTGTTGTCCCCTTTGCTGTCGTCTTTTGGCCAAACTGCCTGTTTACAGTGTGTTTGATGCTGAGTTGTCCATGTGCTAAGGCCGATATTGGTGCTAACAATGTAAGCCGCGATGAAGCTATCTTTCCGATACCGCCTTGTCTTCGCACGATAGGTAGCTGTTTGTAACCTTAGGTTGTTCACAAGATGTAGGCGTCTTGATCCTGCATGTTTACTTAAGGCATTTAGATTTTACAGTAGATTCCCCTTCTCTTCTTCCTACTAGTCTGCATTCTCTGGGTCATTCTGGATATACGACAGCGGAGCATCAGTGACCGGGATGAGTGTTAACCTTCTCCAAACCATTTATTCTCGACTCTTTGGCCGAGTGTTGATATTCAGCGAACTCCCGACTCCGTTCTGTGTCACTAATGTCACGACACTTCGCTACGGATGATATTTTGTAGAGTGCTCGGGACGCCCACGAACCCACGGGCTTCGAACTACTAGCGGAGTACTGACTTTGCGACTTAGAGTATGTTAACCAATGCACCGTTTCTGCGTCTGACAAGTTTGGAATGCATAATCCACACCTAATAGATTGGAAGAAAACTTTAGAGATAATGACTGGACGATTCGTTTGGACTAGGTATGGTACCATTGCGGTGGTGCACATTTTGTTCACTCCTCGTATTAGCCACGCTGGATGGTGCTAGCAGATGCCTTCAGACAAACGTCTCATTTTGCGACCCATGAAACTTATCCCGCAGGAACAGGTAAATTGGTACATCCAGTAAGTGATGACATTCACCGATCGCTTATCCTTCAACTGGTGGTGTAACGTGAATGTATCATACCCATTTTTGGCATTTTGACACCATTTTCGGGTTACTCAATCCGTTATTTTTTAGCTAAACTATTTACCTGTGTTGTATTTGTCCTGACGATAAATCGACGGGAACAAGTTTGTTTGTTCGACCGTCTTTTCATGATTCAAACGAACTGAAGCGTAAACATCCTTGCAGTCGGTATCGCTTTAAGTTGATCAGAAACAGCGGAATATTTTTGACACACGCGGCGGGATACCCGTTCCTCTGTCGCTTCCAGTGAATAAAGTCCATCTCTTCTAACGTTTCTGAACACGATAGGGTTGTTTGGTCAGTCCTTCGGTCCTTCACACATAGTTAACCTCATCTATTCTATTGAATTGGTTCGTTTTCGCTGCTCACAATGGAATTAGTCCTAGCACTAACTTCCAAAAACACTGAGCAATCGTTTCACCGTATTGCAGCTTATCGGTGCTGCGCATTCCCATGATCGCTTACATCTAACGATGTCCCCGTCGTTTATGATTCCTCGCAGCCCGCCCAAACTGTGTTGTGTGTTGGATGTTCTGTTTCCAAGTCAGAAATTGTCTTCGCCCCTTCGAAGCATAGGGTTTTCCTCCCAAACTGATCCGGAGCTACAACTGTTTTTACTGTCACATGTTCTTCTTTGGAAATGATCGATGAGTTGGTTCACTTCGACGCACAAGACCTCTGCGTATTTCTAAGACCCATCATCTCGGACATCGCCCCGTGACTTCAGCCTCTCTGTAAGGCGACGGGCTTACAGTGCAACCGTGCGAACAGCTCTGCTCTATGATTTTGATCCCATAGCCGCTCTCACGAACATTCAACCAAACGAGCACACTTTATAATGATTAGATCCAACTGTTTGGAATACTATTTCGATCCTTTTTCGCCATCTTGTTTTAGCTCATCTTTTGCGGCAGTCTGCCAATTTTGCTGATACTAATCACGCATGATATGCATACCTTATATATATATATATATATATATATATATATATATATATATATATGTCGTCATCATTATACATGTCAGCTAGAGGTGGGGAAACACCTCTGCTATTGTACCGCAATACATAAAGGAATTACGTACACACATACAATACATAAATGAAAAATAAATACAACATTTACATGCCAGCTGAGCTACCAGCAACGGATAGGCATTGTTCCGGTAAGCTACCAGCCAGCAACTAGGCAAAAAGAAAAAAGAATTATGTTTTGCCCTACGAAATGAGATCGTAGATGGAGGGGGATGCTAAAAGGGGTGGGTAGGGACAAAGAAACTCACAGCAGGAACGCCACTGAAGTCGGCTCCTTGCCATGTCAGCAAGTTTATCCAGCCAAACGTGTTCACCGTCTTTCGGACCCCAACCAGGGAGCCGTGAAACTCCAACCGAGCCTAGCTCCGAAGTGAGGGACTTCATTCCTCTGGACCAAGTCATCGCTTGGCCACCTCTCCTCTTCTTCCATCCACACCCCCGGCGAGCAAACAACGCACGTCGAGGGAGTCGGTGGCCTGGCATGCGCAACATGTGGCCCAGCCATCGGAGCCTGGTGAGTGAAATAACGGTGCTGGGCGGTTCATTTCCTTTACCTGTGCCGGAAACAAGGCGTCGAACACGCTCGTTACTCAAGCGGTGTTCCCACCAGGTGTGAGCTAAGCTGCGAAGGCACCGGTGGTCGAACGTAACTTGCCTCTTTATGTCCGCTAATCTAAGGGGTCAGGTTTCACAACCGTACAGTAGGGTCAAACGTACCGCTGCATTGTACACTCTACCCTTCAGGGCGAGAGTAATGTCGCGCCGTCGCCATAAGTGGCGAAGGTTAGCAAAAGCACTTCGGGCTTTTGCTATACGATTCGTGATCTCATCTTCCATCCCACGGGTGCTGATACAACTTCCCAGGTAATTGAATTTCTGAACGACTTCTAGCTGGTCCCCACCAAGAGTCAGTGCAGGAGGCGATCCCTGCCAATCTTGGAGGAACGCTTTGCACTTCGGTGGTGCAAAGCAAAGCCCGAAGCGGCTGACAGCCAGTGCTAATCGGTCCAGCTCGGCTTGGCACGTCTGGGAGCTGTCACAGATGAGGGCAATGTCGTCCGCATATTGTAAGTCAAGAAATCGTTTTCCTGGGAGTAACTCCACACCTTCCAATTCATGTCCCGTAAATGCAATCTCCATGACTTCGTCAATAGCGAAATTGAAGAGGAAAGGTGAGAGCGGGCATCCTTGTCTCACACCGCTGGAGATATTGAAGGGTGGCGACAGCTTGCCGTAAGCCCTCACTCTGCCCATGCTACGCGCATATAATGCTTGGATACTATTAACATATTTCTCGGGCACACCTTTCCTTAGTAGACAATTTCAAAGGGCACATCGATCAACCGAATCGAAGGCACCTTTGATGTCGAGGAACACGACTACGGTGGGCCGCCAATATGTGTGACGGTGCTCCAACAACTGAAGCAAGGTGAAGATGTGGTCAATGCAGCCACGATCACGACGGAACCTGGCTTGCTCCTCACGAATCTGGCTTTCACGAGCGTCAGTCAGTCTGTGAAGAATTATGGAGGCGATGGAGATCAGACTGATTCCTCTATGGCTGCCGCATTCCGATCGTGAGCCTCCTTTGAAAATTGGGACTATGATGGAGCGGCTCCAATCGGTTGGGACAGTTTCCTGCTCCCACATTTTCACTAGTAACTCGCATGAGTCATCCACAAGAGCAGGTCCCCCGAATTCGAAGAGAGCTGGATGAAGATCATCTGGTTTCGCGACTTTGTTCAACTTCAACAGTCCGATCTCACGTTCGACTTCTGAGCAAGAGGGTGGATCCAAAAGGACAGCCCAGGGAGCAGGGCGATCAGTGACCGGCGAATCGAACAATTCTAGCCGATTAAATTGCTTTTCAAAATGCTCAGCCCAACGCTCCAAACGTTTTGACAAATTGTGGATAGACCGTCCATTCTCATCGCAAATGGTTTCACTAACACCAGGTCTCCTGCTGTCCGTTTCCTAGTATCAGACGGAATAACTTACGGTGGTTGCCACTGGCAGCA